GAAGGCCGAGGCAAGCAACCAACGCCGCCGAAATGGCCCGAGATGCCTCCAAGATGGCCCAAGGCGGCCCAAGATGGCTTCAAGATGGCCTGGGAGCCCCCCAAGACGGCCCAAGAGGGCCAGAAGAGAATCCCCGGTAGGGCCCGACGAAGCCAAAACTATGTTTTTTCTCTAAGGTGCTTGATCTGGGCGTCTTCACATTTTCGGGCCCCCTTCAAGTCTAGACGGCCCTAGAGCCCCAAGTCGGCCCAAGAGGCCCCCGAAACTGCTCAATACCCCCCTCCACCCCCTGGCCTGAGCATTGGCAATTATTGTGTTCGAGATGTTGGGCTCGAGATGTTGCCAGCCTCTCTGCTCAGGGAGCGCTTGTTCAATATTAAAGCCGGAGGGCGGAGGTGGGATCATGCGAAGTGGCTCCTAAACGTCTGTTGCAGCTTGTGCACCTTCTACGGTAATCCTCCAACGTGGCCTCAAGGCAGCCCAAGAAAGCACCTCGGCGGCCCAGGACGGGCCGCAAGAGTCCCAAAAGAGCCCCAAGAGAGCCCAAGAGGGTCAGGCGGGCTTGGAGAGCGCCTCGATGACCCAAAGACTTAGACGGCACCACGACGCCCTCTAGAGACCCCCCACACTGCCAAGAAGGCACCAAGATGGCCCAAGAGAGCCCAGAGACAGCCCAAGAGGGGCCAAGATGGCCCAAAGTGGTCCAAGTGACCCCCAAGACTGCCCCAGAAGAGGAGTCCAAGTCAGGACGGAAGAAAGGGAGGAAGACGACGAAGACGAGAAGAGAACCCACGACACGACGCGGGAACTTGCGTCACATGTTACGGCTCCCCACACCTCACGACACGAGGTGTCACACATTGCGGCTTCCTGTGCGCTCTCCCGACAGTCGCCACCCAAGGTCCTGGGCTGGCACGGTGGCGGGACTTGTCGCAGGCAAATGGATATAGAAAGCTCCTGCCACACTGTCAGAATGCAGATGGCGTCACCGAAACTAGAATAGAAGAGAGGGACGATTGGCCTGCGAGCGTGCCCAGAGTCATTCTGGCGCTGCTCGAGCACAAAGCTAGCCAGCCTACGGGGAAAGAAGGGGAATGGGGAGGAGAACCGAACGAAAGGGGAGTTGGACAACCCGCCGCTTGTTCGCGTACAGGAAGCAGCTCGCGCGTGCGCAGACCACTCGTCCAGAGCAGTGCAAGAACGTGAGGGGATCCAGGTGGATCCAGTGCTAGAGGAAACGAAACATCTGCATGGACATAAACTGTCGGAGCCCCGCTCGGATTTCTTGAACTGGCCATCCTGGCCCGCGGAGCGAGCCAGGGGGGTCCAACGCAGATCCCAGAAATCCGCACGGAATCCCGAACATTTATGTTCATGAAATTGTCTGTTCTTCGATCCATTGGGCAAGGCTGCGTCAGATCATGGCCATATGCCGAAGTGCTCGGGAACACTGCTCGTGAATGCCTCGAGCATCCAGCTGCCGGCCTCAGGCGTGAAAGTAAGGGATGCGCGGCAGTATTGACGCTCGTGGCCAATCATAACTGTGAGAGCGCCACATGGCGCAACTCGAAGACGATTCCGCCAAGATGTACGTAGCACCCCGCAGTTGCGTTTAAGAGTGACTGGGGCGGACGCGGGGTGGGTCGCGGGTGGGTCGCAGCGTGGGTCGAGGGTGGGTCGCGGGCGAGAACGACAATAACAGCAACGCAACGACAATTCGCACCGCGGAACCCCGCTTCAGCGACGCGCCCAGGGACAGTGAATGACCATTCGTCCCCCTCGCTTTGATGACTCTCCACGCGGAGCCTTCGCTTCCTACATCTCGACGCAAAAGCTGTCCCATGCTTGTCGAACTTTTCCCTGGCGGTCGCTTGGACACTGCGGGCCCCGAATGCCACAAATTTCTGCGCCAGCCACTTGGATTCTAACATGCTCCTGTAGATTATACGGCTTCCCCCTGCTGTCCCTCCTTGCCGCTCACGTAGTTCCCACGGCCTCCCCCCCTCAACCGGCCCTGCATGTCGCACCTTGCCTCTCCGCGGCCACGGCTTGGAGCATCGATTCATTTCCATTCACTCCTGTTGATTCACCCCCGTTGGCCCCACTGGTCGCACTTTCCTGCGGCTCCTGCTTGGGTTCCTCTGCGTTCCTGTGGCTTCCCTAGCCGACGGCCTTAGTTGTTGCACATGCTCCGCGATGGCCGCTTGGGTTAGAAGGGTTCCCCACGGATTCCTAAAACTTCCACACCCGCTGGCCATGCTGGTTGCTCATGTTCCGTGTTGACCTACGGCTTCCCTCCCCCAACTGGGCCTGCTCGTCGCACATTTTCCGCGCTGGCTGCTTGGACTCCTCGGGGTTCTTATAGATGGATCACCTTGTCTCCCCCACCACTCGCTGGTCTTGCTTGTCGCGCTGTTCTGTGGCCGTTTCGATTCCAATGGGTTGCTATGGATTTCTATGGCTTCCCTCCGCCAACTGGCTCGGTTTGTCGCACATTTTCCGTGTTGGCCGCTTGGGTTCCTACGCGGCTCTCCAGACCACTGGCCCGTCTTGTCGCACTTTTCCGTAACTGGCCGCATAGATCCCTATGGGTTCCAATGGAATGGGGGTGCCCTGCGAATCTAGATTGCAGGAATTGTGGCCTCAAGTGACCCAACAATCCCCGGGGAGGCAGCGCCGCGGATGCTGCCCCTGGGGGCGGCGGCCCCAAGCGCCCGCGTTGCTCGATCGGCCTCGGGCCCAGACGCCTCCGCCGCGCGGCCACGACGCCTCGCTGGGCTTGACATGGCGTGAGCCTGGCGACCGGTATGCTGCTCTGCCAGGCAGAGCTCGCTGCAGACTGGCAATTGGCGCCGCACGCCGCAAGCGCCAGCCGCCCGCATAGAGGAAGAAGCACTGCATAAACATCAACTTTTGACGGTCCGGGCGGATTTCTTGGACCTGCACTGGGTCCCCCTCCCTGGCGCGCGAGCGCGCCAGGGGCGGCGCCGGAGGCGCCACCAGTGGATCCAAGAAATCCGCGCGGAGCACCAGAAGCGCATGTTTATGCCGTTATCTCTTCTTCGAGGGTATGCCCCGCCAGGCAGAGCTCGCTGCAGACTGGAGCAGCTGGCGCCGCACGCCGCAGGCGCCAGCCGCCCGAAGTGCACTCCGCACCGCCGCCTCCGCAGCAGGGCCCGCCGCCTGGAGCCCCCGCACCTCCCCGGGTGTGACCCACACGGCCGCCTCCGCCGCGGGAGCCCCCGGCAGGAGCCTCTGCCCCACCCGAGCAGCCAGGCAGGGCAGAGAGGCACCGAGTCCACAGTGACGTCCCTCAGGGGCACTGCCAAAAGCAAGCAACTGCAGTGACGGGTCCAATACCGGCGACAGGCATATGCTCTGCAATGCAACAACCTGTTCCCTGCTGCCCACCTTTGCTCCATGCAAGCGTCTGTGGCGCTCATACCCTGGGGCTGAGCACCCAACGATGTCTTTGAGTATTCTCGGTTTCTGCGTCAAGAGCCTCCGTCCCTCCTGCATGTTTCAAGTCGTAGCCGTTCAGTTGTGTCGGTGGGCATGGGCCCATAACGCTGACCTCGTCTGCTCTAGATGTGCCTTTTTGACATACCTTCATGGGCATGCAGTCTGACTCATTCGAAGCTTAGGGCCCTCGTCAATTTCGCTGCAGAGAACGAGGTGCCTCTCTCGCCCCGTGCACGCAAGACCGCACAACTATTTATGGCGCTTGTTACTTGCCAGCCGCTCGGCTTGGGGCGCCCGCTCAAGGCGCTTCAACCAGATACTCCCTCACCCGTTCCCTCCTCTCTCCTCCGCCCTCCCTCCTCTTCTCCTGTATGCCTGTCCGTCTCTCTCTTTCTCTCTTTCCTCCGTCCTCCCTCCTCTTCTCCCGTATGCCTGTCCGTCTCTCTGTCCCTCTCTCTCTCTCTCCTTCTCTCTCTCTCTCTCTGTCTCTCTTCCTCCACTCCATGTTCTTATAAATAATTTTCCCTTCCAACCCCCACCCAAGCCGGTCGGAGGGGCGGGCCGGGCGTTTCGCTTGAGACGTCCGTGCCACTCGTCTGTGATCCTGAAGCTTCACAATTGGCAACAGCTTCGAATATGGAGGGCGGGTGGGTTCCAACATGGCTCTCGCGTTAGCGTCGCGCACATGCTTTGTTACAAGTTACACGCGTTTCTGGAGTGAGGGCAGTTCCTCCTCAAAGTGCGGCTCTTGCTTTTGCGCAGCTCGCGTTCACCTGACAAGTTTGCAAGGGTTTCACGGATGGGGGGCGGTTTCTGTCAAACTGTGGCTGCCGCCTTAGTGCCGCACACGCAGTCGTCTTAATCGAAAATTTGCAAAAGTTTCACGGATCCCCATGGAGGACTCACCAAGAATGGCGTTTTGGAACGATTCAGGATTGTCAGGGCGCAACAGTTACGTTGATTCGGGGTGCTGAAGTCCCAGGACTGGTGTTCTGGCACGATTCAGGATCGTCAATATGCAACAGCTAAATTGATTTGCTGCGATGAGCTCCAGAGAATGGTGTTTTGGCACGCTTCAAGATCTTCAATTGGTTGTCGCCCAACGGGGCTCTCCCCTCAATGACAATAAATCCTTGCAGGGGCCTGTGAAGAGGGAGCTTGGAGGGAAGGTTTACTCCAGCACCGTTGACGTGCCTTGGGTATACACTGGTCCTCTTCCTCCTCCTCCTCCTGCTCTTCCCTCCTCTTATCCATTCAATGATCCGTCATGCCTGCTGCTGTCCCGGAGGGCATCGAAGTGGGAGATCAAACCGATGAGCCGTCGTGCCGCGGCCTTTGTAGCGACCGCCGGACGCAATCCGAAACCAGTTGCTTGTGCCTCGTCCACAAGCCAGTGTGGCAAAATGAAAATCACCGGCGAGGGATCCCAGCGCAGTTTGGGATTGCCAGTCGCCTGCGCACCTCGACCGCTGCAGGGTGCCCTGCGCGCCCAAGGCAGCAAGGTGACATGTGGCCAGCCGACCTGCTGCTTAACCAAGTTACCTCATGAAGTGCTGCGGCCTACACAAGACACCAGGGGACAAGCAGGGCGGGGCGGCAGGACGCGGGAGATGAAACACGGAGGAGAAGCTGCAGCTTGCCACGATAGCGTACCCCTCGCCGAAGACTGCAGGGTACCTCGAGAGGTCACAGCCACTTGCGGCGTGTGGAAGTCTCCAAGTGGACTCCACGTGGCCAGAAGCAAAAGTGGCAGAGACGGTTCTATGAACGTTCGGTGTTGGCGCTGGCGTCAGGGCGCCAGGATCGCAATACCCGATGACAAACACAAACACCCACACGCGCACACGCGCGCACACTCACAAACATCCGCCACTGGGCCGATGGGCACGGAGTGGGCGTGTCCACGGGTCCTGGGCCACATCCTGGGAGCCGCAGTCCTCACCCCTGAGGAGTCTGTCCGGGGCCTAAGCCCAAATTTCCAAAATCTCTGGGGGCTTGTCGCGCGCCCCCTGGGGCTGCCCGCGTGCCCCCTGGCCTTTGTCAAGTGGTGGCGCGTGAATGTTTCGGGCGCAAGAGAGCCCCAAGACGGGCCAAGAGGGCCCCAAGCGGCCTCCAGGACGGCCAAAGAGGGCCACGAGACGCCCAAAGATCGGCCCGAGACGCCCAAGATGGCCTCAAGATGGCCCAAGAGTCCTCCAAAACGCCCCAAGAGGCCTCCAAGAGGCCTCCCAAGATGGCATTGAGAGGCGCAAATCATTGATTGTCCTACGGTTTCGTTGAAGGATTTTCGCGTTCTGGCATTTTCGGCTTTCCGACGCTCCACGATGGTCCAAGAGGCCCCCAAGACCACCTCAAAACTGCCCAAGAGGCCCCCAAGAGGGCCCCAATACGGCCCAAGAGCGCCCCAAGACGGCCCAAGAGCGCCCCAAGACGGCCCGAAAAAAAGCCCAAGAGAGGGAACACGAACCGACAATCCAAGCCTTCTGCCCCGACAGGCCCCGAGGAGGCCCCAAGAAGCGCCCAGGAGGCCCTAAGGGGCCCCCAAGAGGCCGCCAAGAGGCCCAACAGGACCCCAAGTGGCCCCCAAACGGGCCCAAGGAGGCCTCCAAACTGCTTCCAAGAGGCAGAAGGCCTCCAATAAGCATCAAGAGGCCCCCAAGATACGAACTAGGTCCCCAAACGGCCCCAACACGCTTCAGAACTGCCTCCAAGAGGCTCCGCCAGGCCCCCGTACAGCTCCCAAGACGTCCACAAGAGGTCCCAGATAGTGCCCAGAAGCCCACAGCGCCTCAACCGTGGACTCCCCGCCTCTTCTGGAGGTCGGCGGAATGGCGTAAGCCAATTGAATAACCAAACGGAACCCAAACCTGGCACACACGCATACCTATACACATACACACAAACACACATGCACATACGGGTTCACACACAATCGCACACACGCCCAAACACATTTACACCACACCCACATAGCATACACACACACGAACACAGACACACGCACGCCCACACGCACGCACACGCACACGCACACGCACACGCACACGCACACGCACCCGCACACGCACACGCACACGCACACGCACACACACACATTCACACACACACACACACGCACACGCACACGAACACGTACACACACACGCACACGCACACGCACACGCACGCGCACGTACACACGCACCAACGCACACGCACACGCATACGCACGCACTCACGCGCATACGTACCCACGCATGCACGCATGCACGCACGCACGCACGCACGCACGCACGCACGCACGCACGCACGCACGCACGCACACACACACACACACACACACACACACACACACACACACACACACACACACACACACACACACACACACACACACACACACACACACACACACACACACACACACACACACACACACACACACACACGTACACGCACACATACACACGCAAACACACACACACACGCACACACACACACACACACACACACACGCGCACGCATGCACACATACACGCACACACACACACACACACTGCAACGAACGAGATGCGCGATGGGGTAATAAAAATAACGAGATGCGCGATGGGGTAATAAAAATTAACGGCCTGCTACAAGGGCGCCAAATCTACCCGTCACCATTGCAGGCCTGAACATAATTGTATGAAAACCCTGGCAACAGAAACGGCACGTGAACAGAAAACTGCGGGGGGCCGCCGTGCGTACTCCCGTACTTCAATCTGAATGCTTGTACGCCACTAGATACTCTGGGTAGATCCTCGTGCCATGAGTGATGACACATTCCCGGAAGTGCTTCACTGCGAGTCCGCGCTCTACAAGCACACTGTGATGCAAGACTGGCGGATCCGTACCAGGAATGGATGCGATCTCACGGGACGTGATGGGAAATGCTGGCACGCCGGGGAAATCGAGGCTCTGCGGGTATTCTTTGTGATTGGGATCATCTGGGAACCGCCTGTCATTGATGCGCAGTGGGCATCCCATCACTGCACGGCAGATGAGCATGTAAAAAACAGGCTCGCCAGGGTGAGCGGAAGAATTCTCCATCTGGCCCCGGACAGAACTGGGATCCCGGTACAAGCGGGCGTGCAGGCCACTGTTTGCGTCGTACTCGGTGGTCTCGTCGGCTGTGACGTACTGGTCGGCCTTCCCGGCGTCCTCGGCCAGGTAGACCCCGTCCCCAAAGTAGGCTCCCGCGCCGCTGCCCGCGAAGCGCTCGTTGAGGCCCCCGACGAGGATCGACAGCGCCACGGACGGCGACAGGCCGTGGAACAGGAAGTTCTCGTTGACCGACGCGTCCAGACTTCCTTCGAGGAGCAGCAATTCGCCTGGCGAAAGATCCAATCATACCCTAGGCTTTTTGTATACGCTTTCCTGGGTCCCCCCCCCGACGGGGGTCAACCTCGCCTCGTCGTCGCGTCGCGACGGGGGTCGGAGCGCCGTCGGCGCGCGGTGGATGCCCGCGACGGGGGTCGATGTGGGGCTGTCGGCGGGGGTGACGCCCCCCCGACGCACATTAAGAAACTTGGAGTATGCAAATGTCAGCACCGCAGTTGTGAGTACCGTCTTCGGTGGAGCCCCTTACGGGGCCACGAAATGTGTAAGTGGTGCGCAGACGCAATGTGGACAAAAGTATGCCAGGTGGAACTCCATACGGGGCCACGAGAAGTGTGATGGGGTGCGTCGAAATGGTGTGGAGAAGGTATGCGGGCCCTGGCGCTAGGGCCTTCCATGGAGCTCCCCCTAGGGCCACGAAGCGTATGATGGGATGCGTCGAAATGTGTGGAGAAGGCATGCGGGCCCTGGCATTGTGGCCTTACTTGGAGCTCCCTATGGGGACCCGCAACGTGTGAGGGGTGCGCCGAACTGGCGTGGAGAAGGCGTGCTGGCCCTGGCACAGGAGCCCTGGGTGGAGCTCCCGCTGGGGCCACGAAGCGTGTGAGGAGTGCGCCGAGATCGTCTGGAGAGGGGATGCGGGCCCTGGCGCTGGAGTCTCAGGTGGAAGCCCTTATGGATTCACGAAGCATGCGAGGCGGTGCGCCGACACGGTGTGGAGAAAGCATGCTGGCCCTAGCACTGCGGAGCAACGAAGCGTGTGGAGGATGCGCCGAAATGGTGTGGAGAAGGCATGCGGGCACTGGCACTGTGGCCTTGCTTAGAGCTCCCTCTCGGGCCACGAAACGTGTGGCACGGCTGAACCTAAACGGTGTTTTTCGTTTTCGTTTTGTTTTCGTTTACCCTAGCTTTTGTCTCGAATCCGCCTTAACGGCAAAACCAAATCGAAACGAAAACGGCCCACGAAATCACTAAAAAACACCGTTTAGGTCCAGCCCTGGTATGAGGTGTGTGTGTGTGTGTGTGCCGAAATCGTGTGGAGAAGGCATGCCCACCCTGGCTTTGGACCGTATGTGCAGATCCCACGGGGCCTCACAACGTGTGAGGTGTGCCGGAATAGTGATACTGGTAGCAATAATGATGTTGTTGTTGAGGATGATGATGGTGGCGATGATGCTGATGATGATGCTGGTGATGATGATGGTGATGCTGATGCTGATGCTGCTGATGATGATGATGATGATGATGATGATGATACTGATGATGACGATGATGATTATGATGCTGATGATGTTGATGGTGATGCTGATGATGACGATGATGATTATGATGCTGATGATGTTGATGGTGATGCTGATGATGATGACGATGAACCTAATGACGATGATGATGGTGATGATGACAACGATGATGATGCTGATTACGATGATGAGGATGATGAACATGATGCTGATGATGATGATGTTGCTGATGTTGATGCTGATGATGATACTGATGATGACGATGATGATTATGATGCTGATGATGTTGATGGTGATGCTGATGATGACGATGATGATTATGATGCTGATGATGTTGATGGTGATGCTGATGATGATGACGATGAACATAATGACGATGATGGTGGTGATGATGACAACGATGATGATGCTGATTACGATGATGAGGATGATGAACATGATGCTGATGATGATGGTGTTGCTGATGTTGATGTTGATGCTGATGCTGATGATGATGATGATGATGATTGTGGTGGTGATGTTGAGGTAACAATGGCGATGGTGATGACAATGCCTATGGCGATTCTGATACTAATGCTCATGCTGCTAATGACGAGGCTGGCAATGATGACGCTGGTAATGATGGTGCCGATGACGATGTTGACGATGGTAATGATGATGATGATGATGCTGATGATGATGATGATGATGAGGATGTTGATGGTGATGGTGGTGATGATGATGATGATCATGATCATGATGATGATAAGGATGATGATGATGATGATGGTGATGATGAAGATGATGATGATGATGATGATGATGATGATGATGATGATGATGATGATGATGATGATGATGATGATGGCAATAGTGAAGGTACTCATGACGACAGCGCTGATGATGAGGAGGACGATGAGAACGCGCGGAGGACAGAAGCGGGTGGAGAGAGGAGGGGGAGAGGAGAGGGAGAAGGAAGGAAGGAAGGATGCGGGGCGATGTTTATTCAAAGCGACGACCCAACACCACAGGATTGATGGGAACAAGCTCAACACCACACATGAGCTTTCGGAGGTCCGCGCGCGGCAGGCGCCGCCAGGGATGCCCAGCGCCGATCCAAGACATCCGCGCGGACCTCGGGAAGTGCAAGTTTGTGCAGTTTTCGCTCTTCTGCGATTCCTGGCAGGGCCCGCCCGGCCGCAGCAGTCCGGAGCTCCAGAGACCTCGCCACGTCCTCGGCCTTCGCCGGGATGCGGCAGAGCTCGCGGGCGACCTGGCGGCGCTGCAGGAGGTACGAGAACATCCTTCGGGGAGACGTGGGACTCTGGTTCGGGGGACTCGGGTTGGCCCGAAGGAGCCATCATGAAAATGACGAGAGCCACTCTGAAATTTGACGCGAACTGCTGCTGCAAACATCCCACGAAAACTGAACCGTCAAAATCCAGGACGCGCTCGTCAAAAAGCGTCAGCAAACCCGCGAGTTCCAGCATACTCGAGTCTTACGTTTCCCCGAATCCTTTCGGGGTTCTCCAGCCGCCACGCGCGCATCAGCCGCAGCCTCGAGTAGGGCCCTGGGTGCAGCCTTCCCTCGCCCCAGTCGCTCTCGCCGAGCCGCTCCGGTAGTTCGCTTGTGAGCATGGTCTGCAGCGCGTTGCGCAGGCCAGCGTCGCCGGCGATGTCCAGCTTCTCTGGGAAGAAGCCTTCGACCATTGCGGACGCCTTTGCCAGGTTCCAGTACGGGGGAGTCTCAAGATACTTCGACAGAGGCGGGAGTGATAGGGAAAGCTCAACCAGGAAGGCTTTAGACAGCCAGCCGCACTTGCCCTGGCTGCTCTCTACAAGAGCAAACTCCTCAGAGTCAGCCTCTATCCTTGTGGCACCGATCACGTTCACCACTTCGCCATTCTGAACGGTTGGCATGCCATCCAACCAAACATCTTTTTCCCTCGAGCGCGTCGGGAATTTCCGCAGCACCGTTTGCGAGATCGTGACATTATCCCTTTTCGTATCCTGGCGCACGTGCATATACAGACCAGCATGCGGTACGTCGCAGTCGGTCACGATGACCGTGTCTGCATTCGCACGCTTGCGCCAGAATTCCACTGATCTACCACATTTGTGGCTTGCGGCGACGTCCTCCAGGCAAGACATCAGCGCCCCAGCATGCTCGTGCAAACCGCACAAGCGAAGGGAATGCAACACACGGCTGTTCCGGAGCCAATTGTGGTTATCCGCAACCGTGCCTTCGGTATTTGGGGGTATGCTGGACTGGCTGTAATCTGAGAAAGTTCTGAAGGCTTCCAGGACAGACTTGGAAATATGCACCTCCGATGTTGCTTCCTGGCGCCAACTTTGTCTCCCAGATGGCTCCAGGGCTACCGAAAGCCGACACAGTACGACTGCAATATGCCCGAAGACCAGCGCAATGAGCCCCCAAAGGCAAAGGCTCCCGGATCTCCCTAATGTGCCCTGAGAGACCCCAAGAAGCCACTAAGATACGCCCAAACAGACCTAGAGCGACGCCCAAATATGCGAAACATCATGACAGACACAACAAAAGAAAGCATGGTTGGCTGCTCAGCTTTCAGATCGTCTCGGAAAAAACTCCAGAGAGCCACCAAGCAGCCCCCCCCCCCCTATATATATATATATATATATAGCCCCGAGACCCAAGAATCCCAGGATGATACAGTACAGCCTTCTCGGGAGAGCTCTGTGGAACCATCGCGCCCACTGCAGCCATCCACTGGCTCTCTCCAGGTCCGTGCGGGCCCTCGAGAGGTCCCCGAGAGGGCACAAAGAAGCCCCCAGTACGCCAGTGTGCTTGCAAGAGGGGGGAGGAGGAAGCTTCGCAAGAGTAGGATGAGGCGGGGCACATGCTGCAGCAGGCCGAATAAGGTCTGAGCTGTAAACATGGAGTGCGGCAGATCGGAAAGGAACCCGCCGTGCTGGAGGACGATGAGGGCGAGCAGACGGAAGGAGGAAGGACGAGATGAACAAGGCTGCGGACAGGGAGGGCGTGTTCAAGACCCGCGCCACTTCGAACAGGTTCCCGGGCTGGAGCGGGTCTCGAGCTCACCCTCGGTCCCACTGCGCTGCTGCACTGGCACGCGGGGCTTGCCGCAGGCAGGTGGATACGAATCGCATATCTCCCGCCAACAATAGGAGACCCGACTCTCAAAATGCGCTGCCTTTCTAACTGCTAAGCCCCCGTCCCCGCGGTCGCCGAGCTCCAACCCGAGGAAATGACACCACATCGACATCGAAGTCACCATGCTGTTCTGCAACAAATCGTCGTGGCGGATGATCTGTATCAGCCGAGGGGTCAACACGGGGGCACCATCGTTATAGTCGGACTGCTCGTCCGTTGGGAACACCCATTGGATGTAGTGAGACGTGTTGTCGAGCGCGTCGTGGTCCCAGTTCCATATGTCGGGGAGCCAGAAGCCGTCGGCACTTTTCCGTGACCTGTGCAAGAAAGCTAACAAATGGTCCTCAATCGATGTGGAGCTAGGTGTGGAACCCTCCTCTGCGATAGCCTTAGACACGAGGGGCTTGATGCCCGCAGTATTGCGCCAATAGACAACTGACGACCCTTGATGCACGCTCTCGTTGTCGATCCCCTCCATGCAGGCGAGCAGCGACTCGCACTCCTGTTGCAGACCAGATTCCCGTAGACACAGCAGCACACGCGATGTCCGCTGGAACATCAACTGGTTTCGGACGCTCTCTTCTGAAGGCCAGCAGCTATCAGCGCGACTATTGAAGTGGCTGCCCTTCTGCACAGACGGGCCCCGCGGCCCATCAACTACCTCCAAACCCAAGAAATCGCAGACCTTGATGGGCCTGTTTTCCACCACCACCACCATAAGTTGGAGGGGGGAAGGAGGAGGACGAGGAAGATGAGGACGAGGAGGAGGAGGAGGTGGAGGAGGAGGTGGAGGAGGGGGACCCCTCCCCCTCCAACTTATGGTGGTGGTGGTGGTGGAAAACATGCCCAAAAGACCTGACGAAAACCCTTCTGGATCGAACTGGTAAGCTCCGGACTCGCTCGAACGGCCGCTTGCAGTGCTGGCGTCAAGACCGGCACATTCGGGTCCTCCAGGGACCCAGTGCTGGTCGGGAACATCCAAGAGAAGTAGTACTGCGAGTGGTCCACCTGCTCGTGACTCCAGCACAGCATGTCTTCCATGAAAGCACCATTGGGTTCCGGCCCAGTTCCTAGCAGGAAGCGTGTCAAAGGCTCGTCGGACAGACCCCGGGCACCCGACGTTCCATCTGCGGCCTCTGTCTCGGCGCTATTCCTTGGCTTCGTCCTCTCGCTGTTGCCACCGTCACCGCAACCGTCGGCAGCCCAAGCAGTCGGGACCGTGGCGAGCACCACCTCTGGTTCGGCCCTAGCCGCATCCTCGCAGGAGACGGAACGAGGCTAAGGGGAGGGGGGGAGGGGGGAAGGAGGTCTGGGGTCAATGAAACGCGGAGCTACGAAGGGGGGCTGTGCGAACCAGGTGCGCGCAGCCGACTTCCCCGGAGCCTCACGGCGCTGGAAGCGACCGCGTATCGAGAAAGCTGCTGGGCGGCGGGGCCTCGACCAGTCGATTGCAGCAGATTTCTCCACCCCCCGAAAGATGATCGGAGCAGGGCGAATAGAGACAACAACATCTCAAAATCGATCCCCGGACCCCTCCCGGAGTCCAAACGCATCTAGTTTCCGAGCTGCGTCCAGCCGTGGCGACGAGGGCCCCCCCGAAGTCCAACTGCCGCTGTCTCAACTAGCCCTCCTTTGAAATGAGACAAGATGGAACGGGCCGCTGGTGGGGAAAACAGTGGTACCAACACCGCTGCTCCCCGGACCTCTCCTGGGATGCGTTCTGACCAGAACTTCGAGGCGAACCCAGCGGTGGCGACGAGGGCCTCCCAGGAAACCCCACATGGCGAAAACGAGGCAAAGGTACACGTCGTTCATTTCTAATCGCGCTCATTTCTAATTGCGCTCGTTTCTGTTTGTTCCTGGCCCCCCGGTGGTCAGGAAGAGGACCCCCAAACAATCGAAGAACCTTCGAAGAATTGGAAACGAACAATGTGTACCTTTTCCTCCTCTGACTGGGCCGCCGGGCCCCGCCGGGCTCCGTGGCGCTGGCTGGCCGCAGCGCGCCGCCCCCCGAGCTCTCGCCGGACGCCGGCTCGAGGTCGACAGGCCGCGCGCGCGCGGAGCCGACGCCGCCCGAGCTGGCGGCCAGCCGGCGGTCTGCGGCGTCGGCCTTCGCCTCCACGGCGCAGACCACCTGCAACCAGCTTCGAACTGATCTCCACCCCTGAGATTGAGGATGGGCCGATTACCCACCACCACCGCAGGCAGGACGGGGGAGAAGGGAGGATGGCGAAGTCCTCCTCCTCCTCCTTCTCCTTCTCCTTCCCCTTCTCCTTCTCCTTCTCATTCTCCTCCTTCTCCTTCTCCTTCTTCGCCTCCTCCTCCTCCTCCTCCTCCTCCTCTTCCCCTCCCTCCTTTTACTCCTGCTGCTTCTACCTTTGGAAGTGGTGGGCCAAGAGGCGATGACAGTCTCAGAGATGCGCCCTCAGAAACTGAGGGAGCTCTTGAGATCGGCATCAAGGCGAGGCGATGCCAAGAATATTGGTAGGGATGTGTTTCAAGCTGGTACACCTGCTTCAGCCGCGCTACTGTGCCGCAGAGGCCTTCAACCTCTGGAACAACAAACGACTGCACAAGCAACAACTTCCGCAGGTCCGCGCGGATTTTCGGATCGGCGCCGAACCCTCCTCCCTGGCACGCGGAGCGCGCCAGGGGTGGCGCTGGAGAAGCCGCCAGGGGGACCCTGACGCCGGCCCAAGTAATCCGCGCGGGGCTCCGAACGTTTCTGTTTATACGAGTTTGTCTGTTGCGAACCTCCCGGGCGAGGTGCGCCACCGTGCCGCAGAGGGCCTCTGGGGAAACCAGAAGGTACCGATACCACCATTCTCCGGACCTCTCCTGAGGTGCGTTCCGACCACAATTCGAAGCGATTCCAGCGAGGGCCCCCTCCCCCCCCCACACATTTTTTGACTTCGAGCGATCCCAACCGAAACCTTCGGCGTTCGATCCCGAAGGTTCGCGCGCTCATTGGAACGATGTGCGCGGGGCTCGGTGCTCTCGGTCAGTGCGGCGGTCGGGCCATGTCACAAGTTGTGTTGTGAGGTATGGTCTTATGATATGATATGTGTGACCAGATATGTCATAATTTATGGTGCTGTGCTATGCTATGTTTGCTATGACATAGCATCTAATGCCGCGCTCTGTCATGATATGTTTTGTCGCGCTATGGAATGGTATGTGCTGTGATGCTGTCTTATGGTGTGTGCTTCTGTCGTGGTAGACGATATGATGCTATGGTATGTCATTTTATGGTATGCCCTGCTATGTTAGTGCGTAATTGGCCCGACATGACATATAATGCAACGTTACGCTGTGATGTTCTCGGATATGCTATGCCATATTAAGTGGTGATGTGACATGGTATGTGTTCGTCTGCTCAGTTATGCGTTGATGTGTTATGGTACGATTGTTGTGTCATGCTATGGAATGAAATGTGATGTGATACTGTGCTGTTGTATGCGCTGCTCTGTCATGCTGTGTTGTGTTACGATATGGTCGGTCATGGTATGGTATGATATTCTCGAACATGTTCTGTTCGGTGGTGTGGTGTTATGCTCTGTTCTGTGGGGGACCTGGGGGTCTGGCGGCCGCGGTATGCAGAGTGGGCGAGTCGGCGCGCGGGGGGCGGGAACCTCAGGGATTCTCGGGGGGCCTGGGGATCTGGCGGCGGCAGTATGCAGAGTGGGCGAGTCGGCGCGCGAGGGGCGGGACCACAAGGCACAAGGGATTATCGGGGGGCCTGGGGATCTGGCGGCCGCAGCATGCAGGGCGGGCGGGCCGGGAAGTCTGTCCTTCGAACCTCGCGGCCCCAACCTGCCGGGTGGGGCGGCAGCGAGGCAAGGCCAGCGGTACAGGGGGGCCTCGGTCTCGCTCGGGCCTCGGGCCTCGGGCCTCGGGCTCGGGCTCGGGGCTCGGGTGCCGAGCTCGGGCCTGGGCCCGGGCTGCGGCTCTGGCCCGGGCTCGGGGCCTCGGGCTCGAGCTCGGGCTCGGCCTCGAGCCCGAGGCCTTCTCCCCCTCCGAGCCTCGAGCTGTGCGTTGGCGGTCGCCGCCGCGCCCGCCCCCGCGGCGCGCGCGCGCGGCGGCGCCTCTGGCCTCGCGGCGCTCGCCTTGCGGCCCTCGGAATCGGCCCTGCGGGCGTTGCTGGAGTCCAGCATGCCGGACGAGGCCGGCGAGAAGCTCGCGGGCGTCCTCGACGAGAAGCTCCTCCGGGGGCGCTCAAGATGAGAGGAGAAGGTGCCGATACCGCGGCTCGTCCTCGAGATCTCTCGTGCTTGCCTCTGCAGGCCTCCTGGGAGGCCCTCGTCGCCACGGCTGGATTCTCCTCGAAATCCTGGTCAGAACGCACCCCGGGAGAGGTCCGGGGAGCAGGGGTATCGGCACCATGCTGCTTCCATACAAGACGGCGGGTCGCAAATCATGGCCCAGAGCACGTGCGCGGTCCAGCATGGGCCAAGGGACGTGTTAAGATAAGAGGAGGGGGCCATGAAATCTGGGGAGATCTCATGGCCCCCGCCATGAGATCCCCCCTCGACATCACCCCCTCTTGGCCGCCCCCGGCTCCTGCGGGAGGGGTCCTTGGCGTTCGGCGTGCTGGGCGAGGCCAGCGGGGAGTCTCTTACGGACGATCCGCTCGTTGTTGCCTTCTCCCTGGTGAGCGCTGGCCTCCTCACGAACATCCCGTGGTTGGGCTTGCAGGTGAAGTACGACACCCCCTTCAAGGAGCCGTCGTTCTTGCCGCTGGGGACGTCGAGCTCAACGCCCAGAAACTCCCCCTCGGAGCCGTCGATCTTCCCGATGAATCGGAGGGTGCCCTTGCCGATGCCCTTGTGCACCACGACGCGCTCGCCGACGACCAGGGGCAGCTGGCGAGCTGCCATCATGCCAGAGCCCGCTGGCGCGGGCGCGGCGGCCGCCATCAGACGAGAGCGAATCAACCCGGCTCGGCGCCTTGAGTCAGACGGGTACAGTATGGATTTCTTCCTCCTCCTCGCCCTCAACGCTACAATCCATACCCAGTTGTCTGTTTCTGACGATTGGGCACCACTTTGAACAGGTGGGTGTCGTGCAGTCCTGCTGCGCATCACGAGCCGCTCGTCGCGCAAGATTGGTGAGCAACCCGCGAGCGCAGCACCGGGACGGCGGTACATCTCACGGGGCCCAGGGGGCGCCCTCGACGGCCACGCGGCCGACGAAAATGTTATACGCAGACCTCTGCAGATCCCTTCCGCAGCGCACGCGATACGCTTCGCAGTGCCGTGCGAAGTGCGCGCGAGAGAGTGCAGGACGGGCCTGACGTCGTGTTCTGAGCTCGAGCCAGCTCGAAACTAAACTCCTCAGCTGAGGAGTTCGAGTACAGGCTAGCTCGAAGCTAACTGACCTCTCGGGTGCGAGTCGATGCGAACTAGAGACCTGAGGTGGGGAGTTCAAGCTCGACTGAGCTCAGACTTCAACTCTCAGACGGGAGGTATGATAGCGACTCGACCTCTTCGAACCATGATATGTTTCGCTATCCCAATCATGTCCTCACAGGGCGCTCAAATCTCGAATCCATGTTATGCTCGACTTCGCTACATCTCGCACTCCCCACTTCAGATTCAAAGTTAGACAACTGAAACTCCCACTTGCCAGCCAGGGATTCAAATTCAGTTGAACTCTAGCTCTGGTGTTCATCCTCGGTCGAAGCCAAGTTCTGGGCGACTCGGGCTCGACCGTACTTTCTGTCACAGAGATTGACATTACATGCAATCGATCCTGGAACCTGTTTTTGATTATTTGCCGCGATAAAGCCGTCACCGGCCCCGCCCCCCACCCCCCCCCCCCCACAAGTGACGTCTCGTTCCGTCCGGGAATGCCCAAGGATGAGCGGGGCCAAATAGGAGCAGCATGTAGGTGGCGATCTGCACCACAACGCCCGCGTACACCACAGTGCTCGCGTGCACCACAGCGCCCGTGTACACCACAACGCCTGTGTACACCGCAACATCCGTGTGCACCACAGCGCCTGTGTACACCACAGTGCTTGCGTGCACCACAGCGCCTGTACACCACAACGAGAATGTGCACATGCAGGGTAACCGCCTGTATACATCACAATGCTTGCGTGCACCGCAGCGCCTGTGCACACCACAGCGCCTGTGTACACCACAGCACCCACGTTCAACACAACGCTGGTGTACACCACGCTGCCTGCGCGCACAGGACAGGTAGAAGGAGCATGCCAATGATAGATAATTTGCTGCGGACCGCTATACGCCACGCAAGGAGGTGCTGATCGTAGAATGCGATGTTCTTCCCTCCCTACTCCTCCTCCTCCTCCTTCAGATACTCCACCTCCACCTCCTCCTCGTCCTCGTCTTCTCCTCCTCCTCCTCCCTCACCCTTCCCCCCGTCGTGCGGGTCGGCGCTACAGCGGATGTACACTGGCGTTGTGTTGCACGCGGCTGCTGTGGTGTACGTAGGCGCTGTGGTGTACACAGGCGCTGTGGTGCACGCAGGCACTGTGGTTCACACAGGCGCTGTGGCGCAGATCGTCACCTACATGCTGCTCCGACCCATCCTCAATCATTCCTGAGCATTCCGAAACGCCGCCAGCGCGAAATGAGACGTCACGGGCCCCCTTCCCCCCCCGCAGGTGACGAACGCTATCGTCCCGTAAAAGAAAAACTCCTGGCACGCGCGATAGGAAACGCTTCCGGAACGCTTTCGCCTGGCATGGAAGAAACAGGTCCTGAGGGAAACGGGTCACACATTACTCATCCTCCATAGCTTGCTTACAATCCTGGGGCCGTCGAGGGCCCCGAGAACAGAAGACGGCGAAAAGCCTCAGGACCCGTTTGCCTCGGGCCCCGTTGCCTGCATATCGCTTTGTTGCATCTCCGACGAACAGCAGAGCAGCAGGAAGCACCGGCAAACGCTCACGAGAAGAGCACCCGGGACACGCTGGACCTCGTGGCGAAGAATCCTCGGGCGGTGAGCCTGCGACTGCAGCAGTCACGAATCAGCCTGGCCTTGCTTGTTTGGGCGGCAGAGCGCTGAGAGCCCATGGGAAAACTGGCGTGCGAGGACCAAGAGCCGCGTGTCCTTCGTGCACCTTTTGTGCCCGCGGTGGCGGCTTAGGGGCCGCTTGCCTGCGGTCCTCGGCCCCCCCACGCGGACTGCCCCCCCGCTGCCGTCCGCCCGACCACGGGTGGATGCGCGTGCATATGCGCAATTCCTTGGTGGCCCCGGTCCACTCGTGGACCCGGCCGGCGGGCGCAACGTGGATTGCCCGCCGAATCTTCGAAAACAGACGTAGAGGGTTCGTATATCTACGAGCATTATGCGTTTTTTTGCGTAGATTCGACGGACAAATGACTTGTTTGAGTAAATAAATGATGTAGTCGATCTCCTACGCGGCCACGTGTGGATCCAGTCTGCCGTTGGACCGAGTCCACTCGCGGACCCGACGGGAGTTGGACCCGTCCCAAATCCGCCACACCCTTTGGCCCGTCGCAGTCTTCAACCCGCTTGGGGGCGCGAGGTTGTGAATCGTGGCGTTGGGCACCTGTTCTGTGCCGTTTGTTTTTCTCTCTCCCATCCAACCTCCACTTCACGGTCTACTTCGGCCGATGTCATTTTCCAGCTTTAAACTCAATTTCGCGTCCATGTGGCCGCGCGCGGTCCAAGTTTTTTTTTTTTTTTTGGGGGGGGGGTGTGGGGGGGCGTCACAAGAAATACCACTGGGCATCCGAACGCAGGGCCCATATATATATATATATATGTCATGTGTCTGTTTGGAACTATTACGTGGCTCGAACACTCGCGTCGGCCACTCCACACATACTAAAATCCATAGCCGAATCGGAAAACTTGTGGGCTCCGCGACTCCAGAAGTTCGCCACCTGGGGGTGATGTGCCTCAATCTCCTGGCCGCTCGGGGCTGCCCGGGAATTCCTGTAGGCACGCCATCGAACAGGCCCCAAGAGGCCCCAAGAGGCCTCGAATAGGGCCTCTATAACCCAAGACGACCGAAGATGGCCCCGAGATGCCTCTACGATGGGATGGTCCCAAGAGGCCCATCAGAAAGGAAACGCCATTGGACAAGCGAGGTGGTTGCAATGCTTTTGCATGTCACATGTTTACCTTCGAAGTGCTTGAAGATCGCTTCAGCACGGCCCCAAAAGCCCCGAGATTGCCCAAGACGACCCTGAGGAGGCCCTCACAGGCCCCAGGATGCCGCATCGCCCAAGATGTTCCAGCAAGGCCCTACGATGGCACAACATGCCCTCAAGATGGGCCCCGAGCCTTAGCAGATACACCAGATAATCACATCTGGCCCGAAGGTGGTTCCCGATGTGGCCACAAGCTGACTTAACCTAAAACGACGGCGGCAGAAAGCACAAAACATCAGACACATGCTTCGCATCCGCACATACACATAGATTCGCCCCCACATGATCATACATCCGTTTTCCGTTTTCTTCTCCTTTCTGTTATACTGTTCTGATTACCCGTTGTATTCTTATTTGCAGTCATCTTCTTACCAGCTGGACCTGGAATCTGCTCCATTCCGATCGGATTGAATTCAGATTCCAAGAAGCATCCCCTTTGATTCGGCTGGATACGGGACCTGCTCAATTCCAATTCGCTTGCAACTCGACTCCACTAAGAAACACATGATAATCAACAGGATATTATGGGGCCTGCTCCGTTCAAATTAAATTCCAATCGTACTGACATTGGAATCGGCTGGGCTTGGGATATCTTGAAATGTCAATGCAATTCGAATTCGATCCAAGTAGGAACCTAAATGAAATCAACTGGTCCTGGAATTTACTAGATTCCTATTTGATCTTAACTACATTTCAACTGAAGTCCGATTGGCAGCAGCTGGAGATGGGATGCGCACAAATTCAATCAACTTCTGAGTCTGTACACGTAGTAATCGGATTGGGACCAGCTTGATCTGGGATCTTCTGCATGTCAAGTAGATCATATCTAGATTACAATCGGAATCCAAATTTAACCAACTGGATATGGTAATTGCTCCACTCCAGATCGGTACTAATTCGATTCCAGTCGGAAACGCATCAGGATCAGCTGGATGTCTGCTCCATCTTCTGGGATCTGCTCGATATAATTACATCCGATTTGGAATGCAAACGATACGATATGTATATATATATATATACTCTTGGCTATTATTGGACATTCGATTTAGATCCACTATATAAACCTATAATCGCAATCTGCTCGATATCGATCTCCGCTTACGGCGGCAGCAACAGCCCCGATCCAGCCGAGCTAGGCAGCAGCCCCGGCACAAGCTTACTGCCCACCGCCTCATCCCCGTGAGGAGGCAGAGGAAAGGGCTCCCTGCTGTGCGGTCCTCCGTCAGGTCGAGGAAAGCCTGGGCAGGGATGCCCGTGTACTTCCGGATGTGGTACGCGGTGGGCTGAGCGCCCCGCCCTTTACCACTTTTACGCAGATGTGTACCACATTTACCGGTGCCCGCTCCAAGCGGGCCCGAAGATCCCGACAGGTGCAGTCGAGCACTTTGGAGTAGGGAAGTCCTGGCCGTAGCGCTTCGGTTGCTGGATGGGGGCCCCGTGGAACCCCCGGTCCAGCCGCGCCCGTTCCCTTTCGATCTCGGCCAACAGGTTGTTGGGCGCACGGGGGAGTTGGCCCCACCTGGCCCGGATCGCACCCCGGTAGAAGTCGCCGTCGACAGGCTGCCCGCTTGGCCTTCGCCAGTCCAAATCCATCAGGAATGACCGATCATCCGCCACCACTGTGACCCATGTACGGAGGTCTGAATTCTGTCCGTGCCCACCAATAGAAGTAGCAGAGCGGGCGCATGATGCAAATACCCCCCCCCAGGACGACGAGCAAGACAAGGGCCGCGGAGGCAAAGAACTGGGCCGTGAAGTCCATGGCT